TGGTTTTGAGCGAACGGAGTATCCGGTTAAATGATTCAAAAAACATTCGTTCGTAATGATTGGGAGAAGTGGTGATTAGATTTTGGCAAAGGCAGTCTAGCCGTTTCGGAGATACGGAGACAAATATGCAAAAAATGGCACTTTTTGCAAGAACTAAGCATCCGATTAGAATGATTCAAAATTTTTTTTAGATTTTTTATTTCAAAAATTCTTTTTTACTAAAATTTATTTTGGAATATTTTATTATGGTACGGAAAGTTCCAGCAATTTGCCTTAAGGCACGATGCCATACACCACTAGTTATACATTTATATGTAAACTTCTAGAAAGAGAAGTTAACGTTTTTGTCGGAAATCTCGATTTGCTAGTTCTATGCCTTTTGGATGTTTAAAGTCAATCTGAATCGTCTGAGACCAAATTGAAGCAAGGTATATGTGGATATGTATGTGAGCAGATTTTTGATCTTTTGTCTTCCATTTATCAAAACTGCACCGACTTCAAAAACTTTCAAACAAGATTTATACATATTAGAATTTTATTAATGCTGATGCTAATTTTTGTTATTTTTATTAATATTGATATTTATTTATTTATTGATATTTATATTGGTTATTATAATCACATTTTTTTTATGTTGACACTAATATTGGTATTTCTATTGATATTTGTACTGATATTTAAATCAATATATTTAGTGATGCTGGTATTGATATCTGTAATTATATTCTTATTTATATTAATATTTATTTTGTAATTGTTATCTTATCTGAATTAATTACAGTAAAGTACAACTTCAGAACAATATTAAGCCTAATTTCAATAACTTGAAAAAAATTATAATATTGAAATAGTTTATTTAGGGCTTGTAGATCTTGAGATTCTTCTGATGATTTGCACAATTTCATTTAAGTCCCAAATCTGGAAAATAATAATTAAGGGCAGTGTTAAAAAAAAGAATATAATATGAACATAATTGTAATGATAAAATACTTAAGGTTGAAAAATGTTAAAATAATTTGGAATAAAATTTTAAAAAATACGGCAAAGGGAAAAAATAATTGTAACTGTTGAAAAATCTCATATCAGATATTATCAGTAGGCATTTTATTATCAAAATATTGTTTGATATCGAAATTGGCAAATTCAGAAATATTGTAGAAACTTTGGGCTTTTAAAAGTTTAACGATGGTATGGTGAAATTGACGATCAATCAATTCCCTTACATGTAGTGAGAGTAGATTAAAAAGCTGTACTCTTCTTCGTCTATGGTATTGAAAGGTGTTTTCGGGTCAGCTAGTATAAATACACACACGTACACATACACACACACACACATATATATATATATATATATATATATATATTCAAAAATAAAAACTATGTCTTAGATCCATAATAATTTATTCAAAGGCGTCTTTCTAAATTAACATCATATTTAACAAGGATTGGATGAAAAAGCATGATACACTATTTTATAAATGATAATATTATAGTATCCAATAAAATAAATATTTTTATATATTTTAACCCAAGTTCCAATAACATATTTTGTATTTGTACTTTATATCAAGTGATACATAAGTTATTTTTTTATTAGTATAATTTTGTTTTGCATTAGTAAAATATATATTTATTAGTAAACATTAACATTTTCACGAACATTTCTATTAACCAGTGGATCCATCAAACGTGCTCTTATTAACACTTGTACAACTATTAATTTTAAAAAATAGTGTTATTATCTAATAATTATTGTACAAGCATTCGATCCCAATATCAATCCTAGTTCCTCAGAATCCTAGCAAGTCCAAAGTCTTGGAAGCAGTTTCCAAGGCTTTTGGTACGTAAGTCTGCACCAATTTGTTCACAGTTGGTGTAAAATCTCTGACAGCATTAAAACTGTCAGTAGCCAATTTGGCAGCACGTTTTTGCAAATTGGCTGGAGAATTGCGAGCTTTGTTGTCACCTAGGAAGCTTTTTACTGCATCTACTGCCAAACTTGAACCGTCTTTGGCCAAAGGAGCAAAGGCGTCAAAGGCGGATTTGACGGCGGTTTGGAGGTCTATTTCAGAAGTGGTTTTATCTGGGTTTGGGGCTGGTGGTCCGGCTCTGGCTTGGGTTTTTTTGGCTAGAGAAAAATAATAATTTGTTAAATTCCTTGTAACTGGAATCCAGAACAGCAGAATCCTACAATATTTTAGGAACGTTTTAACTTCCCGTAGGGTAGTTATAGTAATGGGCCGAAAATCGAAAATGAACATTTTTGCATTTCTCGACGTTTTGAAAGTTTCTGAACATTTTGGCATACTTCAGAAAAAATGGATGTGTGTGTATGTGTGTGTGTGTTTTGTACGTCCGCATTTTTTCGTCCACGTCCACGGATCAACCGATTTGAATGGTTAAAAAAAATTCGATCTCTATTAATAGGGAGATGTGCTGATTAGTTTTTGGCAAAGGCAGGTCCAGCAGTTACGGATATATGGAGCAAAGAGTGCAGACAATAGAATTCGAGTTTTTGATAGAACGGATCATCCGATTTGTATGATCCAGAAAACATTCAGTTCGTAATGACGGGGAAAAGTGGTTATTAGTTTTTGGCAAAGGTAGGCCCAGCGGTTTTGGAGATACAGAGTTAAATGTTAAAAAAATGGCAGTTTTTGAGTGAACTAAACGCCCGATTTGAATGATCTAAAAAACTTTCTGCTTGTATTGACAAACAATTGCTTTTGAGGATAAAAAATTATTACATCTTTTTTTATTTTCCATAAAATATTTTTGTAATTTTGGATAAAAAATTCAAAAAATTACCCAGGCTAAGCACGATCTAAGCGCCACTCTGGTACAAATGTTTACCCAAGTGCGTTTAGACTGCCAAGCTAAGCACAGTATAAGTGAAAATGTCGCACAGAATTATTTGCAAATGTCGTTTAGAATGTGACTATACGGGAGCACTTTTTCAATTTTGTGTAAATTAGGCAACTATTTTTTTGAAATTGAATTCGAAATGAAATGACGATTGTTAATGTTCTGAAGATGAATTGATTTATGATTTACATTTGATTTGTTCAGATATAACAATATAGCAAAAATAATGAAAGTTACAGTATTTGTAATAATCTATTTGAAAACGTTTAAAATTTCTCGAATATTTCATTACGGTACGGGAAGTTCCAGCAATTAGCCTTAAGGCACGATGCCATACACCACTAGTTTTGTATTCAGTTGGGCCAAATATGGCAGAAAACCAAAGAATATTCCTTTTTTCCTGGTGGCAAATTTCAATTTCTCTTACCTCCTTTATTGTTGGCACGAGGAGCAGGATGAGGAGCAGCTGCACGTTCATGGTTCTCATTTTTCCTTACTCCAGGAAGTTTGTCACTATCCTTTTTCTGTCTTTGGGAATTAGGAGCAGCTGCCAAAGTTGTTGCCACGATGGCACAAGCCAAAAATACTACCAAAGAGAACTTCATTGTGATTTACTGATTTTTTTCTTCACTTGCTACTACGATTTCAAATGCAGAACTTAATGCTGAAGTAATTTTCGCAGTTTTTATATACCCATCAATATTTCAAAATTTGAATTGCAAATTTTGGTGCACATTAGAAATATCTAGAATATTTTTCCTTTATTTTTTGGAATCCAAAATGCACCAGTCATTTCCTTATCGCAATGGTTATTTTTTTCTATTGAATGTGATAACAATATGGAAAATAACAAATTGCTGTGATAACAATTTGATGATACATGGTGCAGTAATGAAAATTATTGGAAAACTCTTGAGCTTTCAGCAGGGTATTAATAATTGGAGTAGATATTGCATTTATAACAAAAGTTTCCAAACTTTTAATGGTTGTTTGATATGATCGTACTCCACTCCAAACGTGATTTTTAGAACTATTGTCCCATCTATTTCATGCATTCTTATTCAGATGGCAACATTATTTGAGGAGTAGTAAAAACAAATCCATTAATTTTGCGGTGTAAAAAAAACGAATCTGCATTTGAGGTCTTAGTAAGAAGAAATCCATTATTTGAGACAGTAAATACGAATCCATTAATTTGAGGTGTAGGAAAAAAAACCATTGTTGATTCTTTTTTTTCAAACATTAATATTTTTCATTTTTTACTTTTTGTAACATATTGCATTTTACTTATTCTTTTTACATATTACATGCATACTCACAAATTCTGTATTAGAGGTATAGTAAAAAAAATCCATTATTTCAGATTTAGTAACAATAAATCCATTATTCAAGGTGTAGTAAAAAATCCATTTTTTTGAGAAGTGCTGAGAGAAATTCTGTATTTAAGGTCTAGTAAAACAAGATCCATTGTTTCAGGTTTAATAAAAAGAAATCCATTAATTGAGGTGTAGTAAAAAATAAATAATTATTATTTAAAATTAGAAAAGGACGTTTCAATCAAATAAATCGCTTTAGAATCGGCGGTAAATCATTTTCTTCAGGAAAACCCAAAAATCAATAATAATTAATATTATACTTTTTTATCAATTATTTTATTTATACATTTTGGGAATTTCCTTCACCTTGAATTATTTAGTTTAATTCATTATCGTCAGTGTTGACAATTATTATTGTTTACAATATTAGATTATTTTTGCAATTATAATATAATAAAATTAATTCTGTTTTTGCATTATATATATTACAATTGATTTTCACAAAGTTTATTTATAAATTTGCCATTGAAAGAGATCAGTTGAACGTTAAAAATAAAGCAAAACCTAGTAGCTGTGGATTTAAAATTTTAACACGTTAATCGCCATGTCAGTCATAAGTGTTTGATACTAAAAAATTCTACAAGAGCCATTTTAGACATATATGTCTGACATACCCGGTTTGGTAGAAGGCCAAAAAAAAAATATAGGGCTATGTCAGTCATATATGTGTGACAAGAAAAATAGTGTCTTTTTAGGAATTTCATAAAAAAATTGTCTTCGATACATCAAATTTCCTTAATACATTTTTAGTTAAATTATTTAATAAAGTTACCATGGCCCATGTGATTTTTTTATATTATCGTGACGATTAACGTGTTAACAATGCTCTTATTAAAAATTTTGAGAATATATATGGCATTATTATCATTCTGCAAATAAGTGATATAAACATTAAAAATTTTATTTCTTTAACTTTCAAAAATTATGACCTTCAATTGCAAAAAACGGTCTGTAGAATAAAACTTCTATTAAAATAAATGTGTGGTAAAAATAATAAAAAAAAAAAAAAATTTATTTAATACAATTTTAATAAAGTGAAATAGTAAAAATCTACGAGTACACTTTAAGTCCATTTTCATCCATCTACTGTTTCATATAAAAAATATTTTATTACCATTATAAAACATTTTACATACAGTGTGTTATTATAATATTCATAGAAAACAGTCTTTTATGTTCCGGAAGATAAAGGTTTATTTAATACATAATGATGTGTACATAAAACAGTTTTATGTTCACAGTAATATATCTTTTGTTTTAGTATCTGTTTAGAATCCGATCATATAGTTTTATATTCAAAAGTTATTTTAGAATATACTGCCAAGGAAATAAAAATACGGAATAAAAGGCAAGGGTTCATATAAAATTTATGAGATATTGGAATATGCATATATTAACACTAAATAATAATAAAGTAGTAATAAAATGGAAAGGAAAATATACTCATTTGGAAATAAAGGCAGTTTTAAAATAAAATTTAGAAAAAACGATATTTTGACAACCAATATCAAAATTATTTTCACATGAGTCATGGTAACTTTGTTAGATAATGTAGTAAAAAATGTAACAGGAAACTTTATAAATTCTTTTTTTCTAAAATTTCTGGGAAAACATTATTCTCTTTATAAAACTGTTTCGACTGTATTTTCTCTATGAACCTTCTACATAATTGCGCAAGCCTGATATTAATAAACGGTTAGAAGCTTGAAAAATAATTTGGTGAATTAATAGAACCTTTGATTGACATATGATCTAAGTCAACTTAGTCAAAAAAAAAATCAATACACGAGTATTTTGGAAAATGTAGTGCAAATTTTTTAAAGCAGCAAAAATTTGGAAAACTAGATTAAGAATTTAATTAAACAATTGTGATAAGTTAAAAAGCTAAACTTAATAAAAAAATCATTCCACTTTCAATATTCATGTAAACAATTGATCAAATATCAGAAATTGGTACTATAGTAAACCAGATTTTTTTTTTTAAACTGACTATTTTATAGATTCTCAAAATATTGCTTCAATATTTTCTAGTATCAAAACTTTTGAATTTGAGAGAAAGCATTTGAGAGAAATAATAAAAAGAATAATTTATTTGAGACTAATAATTTTTATTTTAGTTAACCAATTATAAACATTTTTGAAAATTTAATTATTCAAACTTCCTTTATTTTTCAGTGTATCAGTTTCAATATAATTATTCGTATGATTTTTTTTGTGTTCTGATTTATATAATTGATAAGATACATATAATTAGCTGAATAAGTGCTTAATAATGATTTTTTATGTTACATCATTATCTGACATTCATTTATGTATTTTAGTGAAAGCTTTTCCACATTTACTAAAATTTAGTAAAACTTTTGTATTTTTTTCCATAATGAAATTTCAATAAAACTTGTTGAGACGCTTATTTTCTGGTGAATATATAAATTTTGGACATATTTTTGTAGTTTTTTGAATACTTTTATAATTTTGCACTGGCAACTTTGTTCAATATACATCAATAAAAACTAGATGAAATTTACTAAACTCCAGTAAAAACTATGTTATACCCTTGTAAAATTTTGATTAATATATAGTTAAAATGCTGACTTTAATATTTTCATAATTTGCTAATATGGATTTAGAACATTTTTTTGCTGTTTTTCATATAACTAATTATTTTCATTACGGATGTTACAATTTTTTTACATTACTAAAAACTAGATAAAATCTACTAAATTTAAGTAAAAACTGGTGTATACACTTGGATATCAAAATTTTGAATATTTCGAAATTGAAATTGAATTTAGTATTTTGTTAATTCGCTATAATGAATTTTGAATTTGAATTTGAATTTTCCTTCAAATAACTATTAATTTTTGTTCCTGGCGTTAATTTTGAAAACTTTTGAATAAAAATTAAAATTAAAACTACATAGGTATTTGAGACTAATATTTATCATTTTGGTTAACCAATTATAAATATTCTTGAAAACATTATTAATCAAACTTCTTTTATTTATCAGTGTAATATGTAGCAGTTTCTAAATAATCAAAATGTAATTTTTTTTGTGTTCTGATTTATATAATTTTAAAATTACTTCAAAATTTTAGCTGTATAAGTTCTCAATAGAGTCTTTTATGTAACATCTTTAAAATATAGTAGCAAACAAATCAATGTTTCAATCTCTAAACTGAATAATTATCACATTAGTTTATGCTTTTATTAGTTCTCAATGAATTGAACAACATTTCATAATATTTGGCAAATAATATTTTGGTAAATAAAATTATTATGTTTGTAAGTATTAATTTATTAAGTACATATTACATATCAATCCTTACTACTTTTAATTATCTTCATAACTATTTAACTAAGTTCAAGTTTAGCATGAATATCTTCTTCTTGTATTTCCAAAATATTGTATATGAGTCTAAATAAAGTGATTAAATTTTTTATTTCATTTAAATTCAAATTCTATAATTTTATTAAACTCTAAGTAACACAGAATAATAACATTTTCGATTGGCCTTAATTGTAATTTATGGAAATGCCTCCTGGTTGAGAAGGCCTAAGAGTTGGTAAATTTATGCCATTACCACTAGCAATATTTATACCAGTTGGAAGAGATGTATGAAAAGGTGCTGTAGGTAGTATTCCTGGAACTATTCCTGGTAAAATTCCAGACCCATTCCATAATCCACTTCCGGATCCACTTGTGGATCCACTTGTAGATCCACTTGTAGATCCACTTGTAGATCCACTTGTAGATCCACTTGTAGATCCACTTGTAGATCCGCTTCCAGATCCGCTTCCAGACCAACTACCAGATCCCGGATAACTTCCAGACGTACCTGTGGTAGAAAATATACCACCAGGTTGAACTGGATGAGTAGGAATTTCAATATAAATATCTTCATCAAGTTTAGCAGGATCCCACTTCTCGTACAACTCCGTCACCAACTTTGGTAATTCCAAAGATCCAATGACTAAAGCTTCGTACAGTTTAGGGTTCAAAAATGCTTTGACTAAATCCTTATTAGCTTTCCATAATCTTTTTAAGCCATCTTTAATTTTTCTTAAACTACGTCTCTTTCTGTCGACAATTTGCTCGACTAAGGTCCTGAGGAAGGATGCACTTTCATGGACTACATTTTTTGCACTGTCTGAGAAGAAATGGATTGCTGGGCTGAATTGGCCTGATAAGACAGTGTCACGATTACCTAAGAAAAAAATAATAATAAATTTATTTATGTGTATGTATATTGGTGAAGTAAAAATACCCGTCT